AAACTTAAGTTAGACTTGTGTTTGTAAATGAACCGCCCCATGTTGTGTAGCTTTCTGGATTTTATACTTATTGGGCTACATATTTATTTATTTATTATACAGGCTATACAGTACATACAATCAAAACTCACATGTTTTATGTAACTAAAGTGTTTAATTATGTGGACTACAGAGAATAATTAAGTTATAGAAAATATTTATATGAAAAATGTATATACTTACTGCATTTAAGTCATTTTAACCATATGTAACCACCTGCATGTGTTTTGGGGGGGGGGCTTTGATTTTGCCACCCCATTTGATTTCTTTGCCACCCTCATGCCACCCTAAGAAAATTTCTCTAGATCCGCCCCTGCTAACAGGGTGACTGCAGTTATACAGACAGACCTTCCATGTTTACAATGAGCATGACTTCAAGCACAGTCCATACCGATCTCCGGTCAGCTTGCTTCCTCCTAACGGCTCCATATCTTGCGTACCACAGTCCAATCTCACGGCCCTTCAGGTGTGGAGGAGGACGGTCTCTTTGCCCACCTCCTCCCCGATCCGGGTCAAATTCGGACATGTTTCCTCTCGAGCCTCCTCCACCTCCCCTTTCCCATCTTTCTCTGCTGTCATCTCTGTGCCCGCGACCTCCTCTTCTACCTCTTCTTCCTCCTCCACCGCCATATCCATAGCTCATGTTGCGGTTAGAGGCAGGCAACGGTAACGTCCGTTAACCTGCGTTCAATTAACGGCTTACAGCTACTTGCTAACCAGCAATATTCAGTGGATTTACGAACTAAATATTTCACTTCAAAAATATGCGGTGACACTCACGTAGCCACTGACAGTTGGGTTCTCGATAACTACACCCCAAACCTAAATTGCGCCCCTCTAACTCACTTATTAAACAACAACATCCCCTTGAAAAAGTGTCACATCCGAGATACTTGCTGTTTTCCATCTGGCATGTCGCATAATAATGCCGTCAACATTTTCAGCAACTAGATATTGACGTGGCGCTCTAGGATTGGTTGCTCTCCATATTACCGTTTTAAACGCTGCTTTCTAAATCTAGCTGACTTCTTCAAACGAAGTTATCATAGTAATTAGCATACAAATGTGTATTTCAGTTCAAATTTCCAGTTTATTTTTTATGCAATCTGTTTTGATTTACTGTGTAGATCAGGGCACTGACACTTTACCACTAACCTTTAAACATAACTATTTGCCTCTGAATTATTGTATTACTAAAGCATTCAGTCCTGTTACTTGTATAATTTCTAGCAGTGCTTAACAAGTTTATTAGACCATCACCGAATGTAAGAGTTATATCAGAGCTGCCCAAAATTAATAGTATTGGTAATTATACTTGTGCTTTTATAATAGTTAATCAAATTGTCACTCAAAATCTATATGTATTGCTAATATTATTTTTTGATTAAGATGCCAAGTTACAGCTATTTGCTTGCATTCCTGAAGAGGTGAAAAAAACAACCTTTTGTAGTTAAGTGTTATGCTTGATTAATTCCTGAAGCTCAAATTTGGGCATAAAAATATGAGTTCAGTTTGCTATGTACCTAATAAATAATAATATAATTTTTAGCTGTAAACATTTTTTTGACATTTTTTCTTGTTTTTACGATAGGTTATTGTGCCATTTTAATGCATTTATTAAACCCTATGCGTTTTTACATACAATACGTTGTTCTCATCCAACATCAGCGTCTGACCTCATAAATGCGCTTCTGAAAGAATAGTCAAAAACTCCCAAACACACTTTGTTGAAAGCCTTTTGAAAAGAGTTAAAGCTGTTATAGCTGCAAAGGGTGTGCTATTAAACCCCAGAGATTATGAACGGGATGTCACTCAGGGAATCCATAAAATATTTATGTTAATTATTCACTGAATAACATTTAAACAGCATAAAAGTATTTTATTCTTTTCCAGATTTTAAAATGACATAATACATTTTAAAAACACACTAAAAGTGTGTTTTCAGCATAACCTCTGGGGTCATGTGACAAATTAAAATACATTAAAAAAAAACTGCTTCTTTTTTTGAAGATGTACACTTGAAGATGTATTGGGCAAGTGCAGAATGCCAAGTTTTTTACTTCCAAAATTTCTCTGAAATGAAGTTAGACTGAATTCATCACTACTAATACAAGTTCACATATATTACTGTAGACTCTCAGATTCCCACCTCCATGATTTAGAATTCAGGAAGAGTTTCTAATAAATTTTTACTTTCACTTCTGTGGTATTTAATATCCATTATCTATAAAGAGAGTCTTTGCTTTTGGCTTCTCTGCACATGCTCTTATACAGAGGTAAATCTGAAGAATCCTTTATAATATATCCATCTGTATAAGATAGAAGATTGATCCCCCCGATGATCTGAGTGGCCTTTCTGGAAACAAATTATGCTTCCATAAGTTTTCATGAGTTTTCTTTACATGTCATCTTTCCATTTTGATGTTTATTTAATTAGTTCAAGTGCAAATAAATTTAATTCACTCAGTGCCCTGGCACATTAGCCTTCTCATTAACGATGAGCAAGTTGCAAAGTTCGATAGTCTGAACTTGTCCATGTACTTTTCTGTCATTTGACAGAGGATGCTCATGCCCTCTTACTTTTATCTATTATCCAAAGTAGAAAATATTTGTTTAGAGTCTTGCGAAATCTGTTTATGCATTAAACACCAGTTTAATAGGAGGGTTCCGGCCCTGAAATAACCTTTTGTTGACTATTTAGATTGCTAAATATCTTCTGGGGTCTCTGTGCACAGATAAAAACAGTCTGTCTTGTCAAAGTAATTGCTGTACCAGGTTCACACTGGTACACTGCAGTTTAAGGAACATTAGGGAATGACCTGCTATCTGGACCTTAAAGGTTGTCGCCAAATGAAAAAGATTCACCGTGACTGCTGACTGTCACCTTAAAGGGTCTCTCTGCTACACCTCAGCACTGTTTTTTAATATAATTTTTTGTCAGATTTAAAATGAAAACTAAAACAGTACACTACTACTACAGTTTAGTAGTAGTAGTGATACATTCTTATTAAGTAACCATTTCTCCTCAGTCACTGATTGCTTTGGCTTTATCTGACTTTTGTAGCGGTTACAAACACTGTTTTCACATTTCCATACGTCACCGTTCACTGATTCTGTTTCTGAATGCTCCAAATCTAATTGGATTATACTCTGCATTCTCTTATTTCAAATTAGCAGCAATGTCATATGGGGAAAATCTGTGCTTTTTCCTTATTGTTTACCTCTCTCTACTCTGTGTCTTTGCCCTGCAAATTAAAAGCAATAGACACCCTATCTGTGCCATGAAGCACATTTCACAGATGAGAGAGTAGAAAGAGTGGTGTGAAAGATTTGTGCAGGATGTTCATGGGAGGTGACAGGGTAGATCCCACCCTTAATCTTTCTGTTCCTGTCAGGAAATATCATGCTTTGCCACTTTTAAATTAAATTTTTCTTTTCACGCCCACTGTGATCATCAGAACCATCAAAGACACGATTTCCTTTTATAATCAGTGAAATGAATACTTACACAGTACTTCCACAATCAGCTATTTTGTTATTAAGGAGATGCATTTGAAAAAAGACAGTTTCCCAGATCAGAGAATAGTGATTTGTGACGATGAAACGATTTATTAGCAGTTTGGTGTGAAAGACTAATTTGTGTAAAATCTTATTTTCAGTTTGTATTTGAGAATCTCATTTTCATCAAGTACTAACTGGACCTGCTTGTACAAAGGCTCCCTGTTCAGCTTTGACAGAAATATATTCAGTTGTGTCTTTGGACATTAAAAAAGAAAACAATTCCACAGTGATCGGGTAAACTTTAAGTTGGGAGTGACTCATGTTTTTGCTTCAGCTGCCAATTCTTTTATCTTTGTCATTATTTTGAACTCTGTGAGTACTATCAGTATCTCAGCTGGGTACTCTAAAGAGAACAGATGGGGGATTCAAAATGAAAGGATGTCAGAGAGAAAATGATACAGGAAAAAATACTGCTAAACTTGGGGAAGGTATTAAAAAACATACTGGGAGTAAAGCCTTTTGAGTAGTAGAGGGATTGTGGAAAGCAAATGACATGAAAGAAGAAAGCACTGTTTCATATGCTCCAAGCCTCCATTCCCTGAACCTTTCAGCACTGTTGCAGGTGTACAGCTCATATATACACCATGTTTGTTACCCTAGGGGCTAGCTGTAATCCATACAAGCAATCCCTGACCAGAAGAATTTCAAAAACCTCCAATAAAAAGCCTCAGGTTTTAATATAGTGGTTTTTATCTCCTTCTGGATTTTTACATTTTCAGAAATCGTGCTGTGCTCTTTAAAGGTGCACATATTGTACTAGAGGTCTCACACAGTGCCACTGATGCTGCATTTTGATGCAGGCTTACCTGCACCTTATTGTTTCAGCATAAACAGTGAGGTTGTGAGTGGGAGGTGAAAGTCCTTGAATCAGAGAGAACTGATGAAAACATCAGGAATAGCTTCTGGTCAAGGTTTCTGATATTGCAGTTTTGTTTTGTTTTTTTACGTTATGCTTTTGCAGCCTCATGCAGCCTCTTTTAAAATTTCTCCTACTTTCTTGTCATTTGGTTTCAAAATAACTGTTAGCTGTACACGGATAATATATAATTAAGCAATTTCAGAATTTTCCCTATGAAATAGCTTATAAAAGAAATATGTTTTTGATGCTGTTTTTCTGCCATCTTGAACACTGAGCAGAATAAAGACATCATACAGCTGTTGTGGATTAGTCACATTCCAAACCCTAGGGCCACAGCAACCAATGATGTTACATATTATATAGGTCACTCTCCAAAGTAGCTAACTATTGCACTTTACTTGCCTTTTAATTTGTGGTAAATAATTCCATTTGAATCCAAACGGTGTGTTACCAAATAGCTCCAGATGGTTGACATGAATGAATAAACATGCAAATACTGGTGCAGCTGATGTGCAACTCAGAATTCTTAATAACAAGACAAATAACAATTACTTGCTGAATTTATGAAAATTCTGGACCAGAAGCTGAGCTGTAGTTTAACAATGAGAACAAGCACATAATGGAATCACATCCACGCTGTTAAGCTGGAAAGATGGCACACTGCTCAGCTAAAAACCTTTGGCACCATTAACAGTTGACATGGTTGATATTAAATACAGTGTTGCATTCATCACAATTCACATGCCTGCACAGTATTTACTCTCATTTTGCCTAGGAGCGCTTGAACTAGGAATGCATCGCAGTACTGTTGGAGGCAATTTTCTTGTATGAATCTTTAATGAAAACGGTCTTCAGGAGGATGGGAGACATTGAGGCTGATGACTGGGACTCCCTAAAGAACAATTCAAAAGCTTGCAAAAGAAGTCCTTGCTGTGCCAAGGCTGTGTTGAAGTTCAAAAAACCAAACAGTTAACATATAGAAGACATCACCATAAAACAAACATAAATACATATATACTTTAAAATTAGTCTTCAATACCAGTTTCACTGTTTTTTCTACACACAAGTACATGTATATGTGCATATAAATAATGATGTCATCTGAGAGAATGAAGATTTATATGATTCAGAAAGACATTCTTAATCCCTGTCAAACAATACTGATTTACACAGTCCCATCTATGAAAATTTTACTCCAGTCCTGAATATATGCATGTACAGTATTAGATAGAAAGTAAGAGGTCCCTGTGGCTCACCGATTGGATGGGAAGCAAACCGAGCGGTCAGACAGATGATCCCCCGAAGTGGTTTCGGAATGTACATTCATATGCTGCCTGCTGTGGTGAAATATGCACAGTCACTCATTTAAATTGCACTAAACATGTGCAAGGCAGAAAACTGTTCTGAAGAAGTAACAAAAAAAAAATGTTTGCTTCACTTCTTCTTGTTTTACATCCTAAACAGTGATGGTGGATCCACCCTACCCTCCCAGCCCCAAATTAGATAGCAGATAGACATTTTAGACATTGCAGCTGGGTGAAAATGAAACACAATTTGAAGAAATATATGCAGAATAAACACAATTTTTTTTTCACGGTAAGCATGTGAAGATTTTTGTTAACTGACATCACAGATCAATGCTCTCAAACATATACCCTCATCTCTATGGGCACAGATACTAAAATGCACAACACATGCTCAGATGAGTCAGACACATGGGTCAGGTGACCCCTCGCCTCACAGCTGAGTCACCAGTGACGTAGTCTACTGGAGCTGTTTCATGTCAGACACGTGATCACACCTTGGTCCTTTTTTCCTCCTTTACATCTGTGATTTTTTCTTCTACCTGCTTCTTCTGTGATAACAAACTGGCATATGGTGAAAGCAAGAATACAGATACACTACTAAAATACTGATTCTCTTCTACTGTCTATTTGACATAGGTCTGTATTCCACTCGATTTACAATATATATCATTTTACAGTGTAATATATCTCTGTGTACTCTACATATAGGCAGTAAATGTGCTCTCCTGATATTAGCTAAAGAGGAAGTACAAGAGTAGGCAAACAGACTATTACAGTCTTCAGCTAAGCCTCTATTTGGGTCACCTGTCAACTCTGTTAGAGCGGTGATCAGAAAGAAGTAAATGTGGAATGATTAGGAAATTTGTCTCACAGCCTTTACTGTCTGAGGTGCTTTTTCAACCTCCACCAGAGAGCCACCCTATTATTATTCTGTATGTATGTCACTCTTCCCTCTCCCCAGCTTGCTTTCTATAGGCCTCATTGAGCAGCTGTATCTCCTCATGATACCCCGAGCTCTCCTGTGTCTGGCGTCGGCTGTTCTGCCGATGAGCCTCCACAGTGTCAGGTATAGTGATATTTATGGTCTCTGCTTCTGTGGTGCCACTGCTGGGGATGAGCAGGGAGTAAGAAGCAGTCTCACCCAGGTCACAGGAGACAAAGCGGTTCTCCCTTCGGGAGTAACGAAGTGATGGCGAGCGGGCATGGGTGGAGGACTGACTGATGTTAGATATGATAGAGACGCTGTCCATTGCCTCTTCATTGTCACAAATTTCCAAAACTTCAAGATGGATCTTGACATTAGTGTCCCCAACCCCAGCTCCAATTCCCATCTCCATTCCAATCTCCATCCCCATTCCTACACAGCTGGCGTTCACATCTCCACCCTGGCCTCTGGATGCTGTTTCGTCTGCACTGGGCTCATGGCCAACTGACTTCGAACGATAAACTTCCACCTGAGGGGAAGAGAGATTTCATGTTTTGTTTTGGACCACAGTGTACTTGATGTCGTACAAAAATATCTCACAATGTTATAATTGATTTCTAAAACTCTATTCCATTAATCTTTTCCCAGTGGAACTCCCTGAAGAAATTTTAAATCTACTTTTTTAAGCTAGTCATTTTATGAAAATAAATGGTTTCTTTTTATTTGTTACATAGCGCATATGGACATATTTTATATTTATTGATAACTAGGAATTTCCTTTTCCACATTTCACTGATTCAAGGTCTTATAGGGCTAATTCTAGAAGTGAGTTGTGTTGCAATCAGGAGCACATGACAGGATAAATAATCTAGAATGTTTTTGATGGTGAGAGAAATGGCTAAAACTATGCCGCTCTTGATGGCTATATAAGAGAGTAAAATTGATCTCACAAACAATATTTACCTTGCATAAATCTTAAATATGATGCCAGAGCCAGGCAGCTCTTGGCTTAATTTCAGACTAGATTTACTTACAGACTGGAAAATGATTTCAAAGCTTAAAAATGTACCTAACAACATTTTTAAAGCGAACTAAATCATAATTTACCCCTTTCTTTTAATTTAAACACAAACAAACACATTTTAGTAAATTATAGTAATCGATGATCACAGCATAACAAAGGAGTAAGCAAGCGATTCATATTTGTATTTATTCTCAGTACGAATGCAAAGAGCATTTCCCACAATGCCATACTACGGAGGAAATAAATTCTGTCTTCCAACGTGAGTTTAAGCAAAGAGAGTGCTGAGATGACATTACCTTTTTGGCATTGTTCGGGGAGATCTTTCGACCATCACTGCTGACCTCGTAGGTGGAGAGAGACAGCGTCTTCCCTGTAGGTGCTTGTAAAGATACAGTTCCCTGAAAGGCACACAGGGGAATTGATAGACCACCTGATGATCGCTGCACAGGAAAAACACAGAAAAGAACAAAAATTCAGTCAGAATTTAGCACATCGTCTTTATTTGAAAAGCAAACTGCTATTAAATTCCGCCTTGGCCGCTCATTCTTGACAATAAATCCAAAGCAACTAATACTTCACTGTGACTACAACTCATTTTCCATCTCATTCCTGTTGTTTAAAGTAATTGAAGTTACATTATGTGCCTGATGTCAAGTGCAGTAAGATGAATGTGCTGACCAGTCATTTCTATCCAAGAATTAATGAGGCTTGCATGTAGAGCCCTAACAACAGCACTCGGCTGTTAAAATGAGATGTCAAGACTTCATGCATGTAGAGGCCAACAGACCTTTCAGTGAAAAAACACACAAACACAAATAATGACTGACATATTTTTTGGCCGTTATTAGATTCGAATAGCAAAGTTTCAGTGCACAGTATCAGGCAGATTTTCTCCAACGGCTTATCAGCTTGCTTTTAATTATGAGTCTACATTTTTAGTTTAATTTTCATATTTTCAATCATATTTCATGTTTTTCAGTCACACATTTACACTGCTTTTGTAGAGATTATGATGCCAGAGAGTAGATCAAAGTGAGCCTCTGTGAAAACATGTTTGAGACTGTGCATACTAATGGCAGAGGGAAATAGAAGCATCATGTGGCACAGAAGTAGAGAGACCTGTGGCAGGTCTAATTAAGCTTCTAAATTATTTAGTTAAATATAATAATCTTATTGTGACTATGATGCACAACAGAAACAAAGCAGATGCCAGTCTCTTGGCAATCTCCCCCAAATCTGCCTGGTTCCCTGTCATTATGTTTGCCTCATTGTGAATGGAGAGAGACATAGAGGGAGAGACAAAGACTGCAAAGCTGAGCTGAAAACACATTGTCACGTAGATCAAATAATGTTCAGAACACATCATGTGGGAAGCACACGGATGGATTTCTTTCTGGATATTTTCACATGCCTTTCTTCATCTTACATATAAAATACTATTTTAACAACAACCCAAAGGATCACCTGGCTTTTCCTTTTCCAAGTTAATTTTTTCTTTTATTTTTAAAATGCCTTTAAAAAAAACCCCCACAATAACCATTTTGCACCTCTTTTGGTCTGTCCAACGAAAATCTAACTTGTGCTAGAGGACTTTGTTCAGCTGAAGCTATTTGCAGATCGAATGAGTTATATAAGGTTAAAAAAAAGTCTGCATAAAAAATAAGAAGTGGTGGGACTACATTCACATGCAGGCTTACACCTGCGTGTGAATGTTGTCAGATATTTCCGTGCATATTACCATGCTTTTCTAGTGGGTGTAGGGTGCAATGGAAAGGGGGGCTAAGGGACTAAGGGAGTTAATTTCAAATTCTGCCAATGCAGATGTGATGATATTTTAAAATGAATACTAATAAGGCCTGTACTTGTATAGCGCCCAGTCAGTGTATTCTAACATCCTTTGAACTGTTTCCTTATTTGCTGACAGTAAGTCTGTTCTGATTTTTTATGCCAAATTGATGTTGACCCCAGTGATTAAGGAAATGGCAACAAAACTACTGGATCACCATTAAATGTGGTGCTGACCTTTGCAGTGATGATAACTTTTTTTAAAATTTGCTAGCAGAGTTATGGTGCAATCACTTGCGTAGTGAGTGCGCATAAAACTGAATCAAAATATAGATATTATTTAAATGCACCAAGGGAGAAAATTATAGTAAAACACATTAATATTACTTTATTTAGTATGAAAAACTAAAGTTACTTACTTGCACTCCTAAACAGAAAAAAATATTAGGGGTGGAATGTTGTACTTGCTTAATTCCTAACTTTCTTAAAAATGAATTGAATGAACATGAATTACGTCCAATGAAGTCAGTTATTGTTTTGTATAAAAACAAGCTTCTGAAAGATGCTTCTGTTTTCTTGTTTTTTAGGCTAATAAAGCTAATAAATTTGTTAAGCACTGCACATGGATGCTAACATGTCCAGGCACATGTTGTGATCCAAAAATTGGCATAAAGCTAATATTTGTTTCTAAGGAACAGTAAATAACTTTTACTGTAACAAGTTAGATCCAGTTTGTTTTTTTCCCTTTTTAATTTACAGCAGGTGACAACTGAAGAGCACAAATACTGTACTGAAGTTAACTAATACTGAGATATTTTTTGATGTGTCACTATATTTCATTCCCTTTTTAGATGAATACCAAGGCTTGCTGTTAATAGGTTATATATTGTTTAAATAAGATATTTTGTGTGATGTAATGAACTGAACAGTTAAATAACAAGTAAGTAAACAGTAATTAAGTTATTCTCAATTACTAATTAATAGTAATTAATACGCTTGTGTAGTTCTTTGTGTTTAAGGTTAGTTGGTATTAAAATCTTGGTATTCAAATACACTAAATAAGGATAAACACATTAGGACAGCAAAGCATCAGGTTGTCAGCATGACTCATTTGCTTATTTCACACCTTTAATTAATTGAAGTGTCATTAATTGAAGTGTCAGCATACACACGTACAGTAATCTATTATTTAAAATGTATCAACTTCATACTTATTCAAAGTCAGTATTTTTTTAAGTCTCTATATTTCATTGCATTGGACAATCTTTTTCTTTAGAGTAAATTGGTTTCAGTCCTCCATACCTTAATGCACATTAGTTCTCCATTTCCTCTAGGGGAAAAGGGCTTGTAAGTGGACCCTGACTCTGTGCTTGCTAACAGATATGTCACAGAGAGGGTAAAGATGTGTTTAAGCTCTAATTCCACCTCTTTCCCTGGCTCCCGAAGGCCAGATGGGCTGACAGTAAGGAGAAAAGACGATGGGTAATGACATCTAGTCTGCTAACACGGAACAAAACACAGCTTGGAAGAACTATAAATCACAAAGTATTTTGGCTTGTCTTTCATCTGTTGTTTGGCTTTCTGTATTTATACAGTAATAACACGTTGTGTGTGTGTTTCTTTATATCTTTTGTAAATGTGTTTGAGGAACATAATGGTTGGTGGATACAGAAAAAAAGGCTTCATTTTTCTTTGTTGTTTGGCAGTGTTTTTATGTTTGTTTGTAAACTGCACTGTAATCGTGATTCCACATTTAAAGACCCCAATCAATGATTAAGGCCTAGAGAGACATATATATAGACTAGTATACTGAGAAGTAGGGCAGGGAAACGCACACACACATACACACACAAACACACACGCCAGCAGTGAGCATCTTAGACTTATACATGATGCAAAGTGAGTGCCAAAACCAAGCTGTAGATGCATGCTCCATGGATTTTCCACCCTCTGGTGATTTTCAGAGTGAAACATTTCAAACTTATAAGTAGAGCAGAGAAAGAAAAAGAAGGAGAGACAGCTACAGCGTGCGTTCATGTGTGTACATGCCTGTATGTTTCCATGTCTGTTTACATCCACAGTCTACTGAATGAGCCTATATCAAATCTAATAGTGTTATTGTTCTAATAGTCACAGTTTGGTTTCAACGTTAATGCCTGTGGCTGCTCTGTTTCACAAGAGAGGCTGCTCTCTCATCTGTGTCGTTTATCTCCAATGCCAGGATACATTAATCATTAGGCCTTTACTGCTTTGTCCTTGTTTAACAATTCAGTTGGCTCTAGCGAAACACAAAGAGAATTAAGCTTCTGGTATTATAAGAACACAGGATGTCAACAACAAAGAAAGAAATGGATTAAAATGGATTAGTGGATAGTGGTCTCTAGCAAACTGTCTCAAGCTTTAGTGGTCTTTGACTTTGCTAGTGGATAGAGTAAAATATTGAGTACCTGAATAAATGATAACTTTGAGTCCCGGTATAGAAACACCACTGTACAGTATATACTGAATCAATGTGTGTGTTTGATTAAACTTGAACTACAGAATGAATTGGAAATAAGTTTGTTTTTTTGTTTGTTTGTTTTTTAAATTCAACTTTCACTCAAATATTTAACCTGCACAACTTATTCATAAACACATATGAAGGAGCTATGTATATTTGGTTTTGAAAGACAGGCTGGCATTGGCTACTAAAATGGTGTGCGGTAACTTGATCAATTGCTCTATAAGTGATAAAAGCTCAGAACAGATAAGAATATGTGAGGAGAGGAGAGGAGAGAAGAGAAGAGAGGATTTTAAGCATTTTATCTAAATCTCACGCACAGTTCCAAGGCTGTCAGCCTGATTATAAAGAGGCATATTTTTAGATGTGGAAAAAAAAATCCAAACCAACAGTATGTAAGCCTTTCTCATCAAACACTTCCTTAAAAACTGTCTGTGTAAATATTGCACCCTATTCCATCGTCTATCATCCTGTGTCTCTATACAAGTGGACCACAATAAAAAATTTTAATTTCCTTTCAAACAAAATGTAAATGCACAAAGGGAGATTATAAAACGTGTCTGTTTTACGGTCGCGAAACACTAATTACTCTTAAATGATCACCACTACACTATGTTACTGCACGTTGCATGGTAAAGCCTAGGTTTCTTTGATTAATTTATGAAAGCAATAGAGTTGCAGTGTGTGGAAAAACTGCCTAATGCCAGCCATAAACCACAAAGTGACAGACACAAATGATTCATTTAATGGTTCAAGAGCCAACAAATAAACTGGTTACACTGAATGCTGGTGTACCTGTCTGGGCGTTCTCTCGGATTTACTCCTGCACCACTCCCAGTCTGTCAGCTCGATTTTCCGACACTCCTCATGTGAAAGCCTCCTCTCAGGCCCCTCAAACACTGATGACGTGTCAGTGAGACTATGATCCTGTTCCCGGTGATGAGAAGCCAATGAAGGGACACAGCAGAATTTCTCATCATTCCCATGGTTCTCATGGGGAAGTGGAGCACAATCAGCCAGTGCCTCCCCGCCACCAGCCACTGCTTCCAATAGAAGATCTGCATGAGAGGAGCTGTCCACTGGGCACGTGGTGCTGAAATCAAAATTGGGCCCCAGCCTAGAGAGCGCACCACTTTGAAGCGCATCATGACGGGCATTAGGGAAGTCACAGTTAAAAAGGCTGTGATAAGCAGGCTTCTCAATGGGAGGACTGTTATGTGACATGGTGGCATGTGACAACTTATACACTCCGTAGCCTTGTTGGAAGGAAAGGTTGAACTTAAATCTTCTTTTCATCACTGTGAGAAAGAAAAGTGAGAAAATTTTATTTTCTTCACCCTGCAAAATCATCACTGTTTCCCCCTGTACCACACGGGAACAGTTGTTTTGGCTTTTACTGTGCAAAAAGACATTTGGTTGTGCACAGTTAATTAATTTGTGCTGTGCCATCATCTACCTGAGGGTTCTGGTGTTGGTTCCCGTTTGCAGTTAATGAAGCAGCCACATGGCATGTGGATCCAGCGCTCAGAAAGCATGAATAACGGAGTGACCGCAGGCGCCAGCAGAGTGAGAAAGAAGCTCAAAGTCTCCAGGGAGGAGCTGCGTGCACTGATTGCGTGGCGCACTAGTACCAAAGTCTGTGAGGGGGGAAAAAAGGAGAGAAATTAAGTCATTGAGGAGTCTCTGACTTAATATGCATGAGGAAGTTGTGGGAGGGAGACACATGAATGAAAATAAATTGCATAGACCTTTCACACATACTGGGCTTTCTTGATTTTAATTTTCCTATGTTCCGTATTCCAGTGGGCCAGCGGCACTTTAGCATTGCACCTGAGTATTCTCAATTTTAAAGATGGCTACAAATAATACAGCTACAATAAAACAAAACCAACACCAATGAAAATATTCTAATCCACAGAAACAAAACAGAAATTACTGTATTTCTGACCGGTGATATCTTGACATTTTCGTATTAATCATCATTTGTTTTTATTCATTTAAGAGGGTTGCAAGTTTGGAATGCCAATTCTCTTTGTCCATCACTGCTGCACAGCATTTATCACCTACACTTTATTCTTTTGCTTTCTTTTTTCTTTTTTTTTTGAACAAGAACAACTCTTGTAACAGAGGAACTTGGTGTTGCAAAGCATGGATGTATTTCACAAAGCAAACCCAGTGAATAGTGCCCTAAAGGCTTTACATAAAACTTGCAAACAATTGTTCTCAAAGCCTTTTAGGGAGATTATTTTGTGAAATACAAAAAATGCATTAAAAAAAACTTATTTTAAAAAATATCAAGGTTTTACAAGACAGGCAGCAAACCATGCAGTTAAATTGAAATAATTTATTAATATTATTAAATTCCACAATCTCTGACATCATTCACAATGTGTCCTCCTCACTGTGAAGGATTTCTGATGGAGTCTTTAACAAGATAAGGAATTTCATTCATTTTTAGTGACAGAGAAAGTAAAAAGAGAAGAAAACACTTCTATTAAACGACTCCACTTTATTTCCCCTCCACATTATTAACCCTTACAGCTTACAGCATATGCGCCACCAAGAACAGTGATCTGATTAGGGGATACAGTTCAGCCGCGTGCCACACAGAGACCCTGGTAGTCTCTAATTGGCTGTTAAGCACTTTCGTGGATTTGCTCGGATGGTGGCTGCTGACGTCACCCTTGGCCAGAAACATACAATATAACTCTTTACGATAATTTCCAGTGGTCTGCTCACCTCACCGATTACGGCAATAAATCACCAAAACAATCTGTGTAGCTATATAAAGCCAAACAGAGACCTTGGGTTAAAGTGATTTTACTTTAAAGTAAGATATTGAGGTTTTATTTTGTTGTCCAGAGGTTGTTCTATAATTATGAGGCGGTTTCGTGTTAGATTTCGGTTGGAGTTTCATAGATTTTCTACAGATAGAGCGCTGAATAGCATTCCAACTAAATCAATAATAAATGATTTCATTTCAAGGTAATACAACTAAAAGGCTCCAAGCCAAGTAGAGCAATGGGTTGGCAGGCCATTTGCTAAAAAGTTATTATGGTGTTGTTTTTGGCACCATTTACTGGGACATTTGCTTTTATGAGGCTTCTTACCATCATTGGCATCCATAAAACAACTCTGACAACCGCCAGGATCATGGAGAAGCGCTTTTGTGCAAACACCACAGGCGAATCCCCGACAGTAGCTGTCCTTTGATCACTGGCAGACACTGGGGACAAACTGCTGTCCTCTTTCTCCCTGATCTCTGTCCCGCACGGACTTGGACTCAGTTCGTTGTACGCCCCGAAACTTTTATCCAGGCTGTCCCGGGAAAAGGACTGCAGATCACAGAGAGGAGTGGTCCCGCTCAGTCCTCTTGCCATTTCTAGATAGCTGGGGTACAATAAAGTCCTTTGGGGCTCCCTGGAGCACAGCAGCTGGTAAGTGAGGGGGATAAAGAAAAATAACAAGCCGCAAAAACACAGAAAATATAAAGAGAAGAGCAGCAAAATGTAAAAACTGTCACTCTCTGGGAAACACCCGAGAGAGGCCGGCGTAAAGCTTCCCCATCCGCATAAAGGTAGGACACTGACGGCCAGGCTGACCGCCCACACACCGGCAATAGCCCACATTACTCTCAGTGGCCGGCGCACAGACTGAAGCACTCCGAATCTCTTGGTGACATAAAAAGTGTAGGCTGCTATAAGGCAAGCCTTCATATTGCTCGAAACACCTTGGAACACGTACAGAAGTCCAGATAAAGTGCACAGGCTGCCCGACCCTTCACCTCCATTTGCTTCCCACTGAAGGAGCATGAATAAAGCGAGTGGGACCAAACTGAGCAGGTCGTCCACCGACATGGAAGCCACAATGACACACAGGGAGGTTTTTTTCCTCATCCGGAGGACAGACAGCAGCGAATACACACCTCCAACTAACGTTACAGCGGCGATGGTTACGCACAAACCGAAAAGCAGCAGGCGGATTTGCCTCTCCATCCCGGAGGGGTCTGGCGTGTCGTAGGTGGCAGTTGGAAGGTAGCTTTGGTTAGGCGCTGGGGAGCTCTGATACGTCGTAGACATCTCCAGTGAATTCATTGTTCTGCCTCTTTTGGCACTTTTAAGTGTTCAAATTTGACTCATTAGCTTGTAAAGTTCACCAGGCTGGAACGACGCGAGAACAGTACAGCATTCGGCTCATGCTTTTTTTCTTTTTTCTTTAAAAAAAAAAAACCACCATCCAACTGAGAACGTGTGCAGACGCTTTCCAGTCTCTTGGATGTGGAGCTGGTGAGGTTGTGTCGGGAGGCACCTGTGTCCACCGTTCAAACGGCGCAGCCAGAGTGCCTCTCGTTTCCAGCTGCTGATTTACGCGCTGTCGTCATCAGTGGTTACTTTCACGGCAGTCACTGGAGGGTTGAGCCAAACGCAGCATACTACTACAACCGGTTCTATATCCGTGTAGGACCGGTTCGATTCATCAGGGTGTATTTTTATTTGTGTCATGGCTCGACTCATTTGACGAGTCATTCCAATAATCACCCCTGTCTGAACAAGCCCTTTGACAGAATTTAATGCAAATGATAAAAATTAGAGGGTCTTGTATTTATTTTTTTTATTTTTGGACAATTCAGATTTTTGTTTATGTGTAATGGTGGAGCCATCACTTACTGAATAATTCCATTTGAAATCCATCTACACAGGCTGTGCGAGCCATTTTCAGCAGATTGGTTTTCATTGCTTTGTTTTCAAATCCCCCACCCGTGCCTTTTTTTTTTTTTTTTTTTTTGCTTAATGGAGTCAGGAAACTAAATGCCAGGGCTAAAATAATAAGGGAATCATGTGGGGTGGATGCTCTCTCGAAACAGAGTAAGGCCAGTTTACTGTAAGTGCTTACATGGCTGTTTGTATATGATCCCATGTCCTTAGATTTGAAAAGTACTCGTAAAGTAAGATGAAAAAAAAGTGTGGCAAAGGTTCTGAAGGTTATAGAAATAAATTACCCTTATCTGTAAAAGGAAGCTGTGTTACAGAGAGCTACTACATGATGTATTTTCTTTCAGAGAATATTGTGATAAAGAATATTATGAATGTTCATTTACTTTTGTTTTTTCAAGAAAAAGAGATCACACCTCCTGTGTTGTGCTTTGTTATCATTGTTGATAGCTTTTTGGTCTTATGCCCTTTGTGCAAATATGCACAGAGATGCATGATGTCAGCTCAGGCTCATTTATTTACACTCCTCATGTTCTTACTCACTGTATGATATCATTATCTGTGGATGCTCCTGAGTGTAAGTGCATCTGACTTCAGGTCCTGTAATTAAATTATAGTCTGGGCTAAGTGACTTCCAGCTATTCTAATGACTCAACTCTCTCGGGGGGCAGGAGGACACAGAGGGGAATGTAAAAGGACAAAAACACAATCCACAAGGGTACATAAACACTAAAACACAAATACACACAAACCCACACAAATATACCAGCTGAGCACAGCCTCACACATCAAGGTGACCTACTTTATGTGTATCTATCTCTGTGTGTGTACTGCATGCAGTGGTTTGTTCATGTGAGCGCAAGGTAAGTGTGCAGCTCTGTAAAATAAATTCAGAAACACTGTGCAAAAGTGCATCGATGAGGAACAGAGTAAATGCAGCGTCACATGATCTGTCAGAAAAACGAACACACTTTCATTATCTGTTGATGGAACAAAGACCTAAAGTACATTTTAATTCAAGTCAGTTCGATGCGGAGGTTGAACAGAAGAAATACACGGCTGAAAATTATTTACCACAACAGAATATTTAACAGTAGGTGTATACAGTTTTGAGTAAGTTATTAAAATCCTCATGTTAGTGTCGATTACAGGGCAGAACAACACAGTACGTCCTATTAAAAGTTATAAAATAAATGTTAATCAGAGCAAACACAGTGAGTGTGTTTGAACTACAAGTTTTGATGTAGCTCAGTTTTGAATAAATAAATGAATAAATGGCTATCATAGACTCCACATTTTAAGTCTTAAGAAAGAAGTTTAAAAAAAAGTCATTTATACAATCACAGTTAAATTCAAGGTCATTGTAATACATATATACAAATTCATGCTTGGGTGATGAAACATTTATTGCAAATTCCCAGCACAACCACAACTAGCTTATCATTGTTTTCTAGCTACATGATAAAAGAACTTCCTCCATCTGCAGACTGACACACATGCATGCTGCACTATGAGGGTAATAAGAGTTTACACTGAGCAAATCTGCATAGATTCTAACATGAATTTTATTCTTATTGGATTGTGTGTTGTTGCACCTCATTTAAATCTTTCAAATGAGGCTTGCTATGGCTAGCATTCTCCTTGTGTTAACATGGAACGTGTGCTTTGTAACATCTGACATTTTTATTGGTGTGTCCACCAATTAATGACGTCCCATGAAGGAAAATAAAATTAGATTCAAACTAATAAAGAGCTTCATTTGAGAATTACAGCCATATTACCACATCTAATAAATTCATTTACTGTAATATTGGCTTTGATATGATACCAAAACCATGGGAATACTTTGAAGTAAAACCTTGGTGTAGTTCATGGGGACCATGAAAAGGAAACAGCTAATCGATGATTGATGATTGTAATATACTGTTCAAATGCCCTTCAAATTCATAAATGATGTACTGCATTGCATCATATACATGAATACGTGTACAAATATAAAACTAACAATCCTCTGTTGCTTACTGGCCTCTGGTGGTACATCACAGCTTGTAACTTTAAACTGTAGAGCTGCTGGAGTGCAGCTCTTGTCCTCTCTCTAAACACAAATGTACCCACATCTACATGCACATACACACATATAAACACAGAGTGTCTAAGTGCATCATTATCCTAAGTCACATCAAATATTAATGAAGCAGCACTTGACACAGAGATATAGAGACAGAAACAGGATGGAAGATTATATTTGCATAAAAGAGAGAGCTTTAAATTTAATGAGCAGAGGAGGATGAATAGTTAGTGCCATGAATTTATAATTGCTCAACACTCAATTCTCTGCTGAGTGTACCATGTAAAATACAACTGGTGCATGTTGGCATTGTTCAAATGCTGTTTTTAGAATTAAAGTGACTTTGAGATCCAAATTATATCCAATGTAATCATTAAAACTTGTATGGTACAAACAAGTTAGTCCAGCATTAGTGAGTAGAAATGTCTAAAAGACACATTAAACCTGTGTTAAAGATGTTTTCATAGAAGTGCAACAGAGAATCAAATGGTTTTGTGCAATTAGGTTTTTAGTGGTAAACTCTGAACTAAAAGGAGAACAAATATCTTAATGTCAGTAAGTGAGCAGAAACCATTCTCATAGTTGTTGGAGTAAGCAGTTGCTTCCATACATTCACAACATTGCCTCAGTTCATTGTGGTTTGTGGGCTTTTGTTTATGCACAGCTCTGACACTACTCTGACAGCATTCAGTTAGCTTGAGGTCTAAACTAAAGTCATTGTCCTGTTGCATGAGCCAATTTGATCTAAGCTTTACCTGTCAGACAGAGGGCTTCACATCTGACTGTAGGATGCCATGAGTTCATGGTTAAATCAATGACTAGAAAACGTCTGGGTTCTGTGACTGCAAAATAAGCCCAAGTCATCCCCCCTCCTCAGCTGTGCTGACAGTTGATATGAGGTGTTTATACCGGTGAGCTGTGTTTGGTTTTTGCACGTGCATTGCCACTTTCTCTAACTCTCATCTGATATTGTTCCAGAAGTCTACTGTGTACTGTTATAATCTTTAACGTTTAACATACTATCTTAGGCCTGTGGAGTCTAAGATGTAGCTCCTGGTTTTTTTTTGCAGTTTCTCTGAGCATTGGACGATCTGGCCTTGGGGAGATTGCTTGGTCGACTCTGGTGTTTTCTGCTAAATGAAAACATTGATTAAGGTTGGTTGAGGAATACAACATCTTTTGTATATGCATATACTATTAACTGTAAGGTGTGTGTGTGTGTGTGTGTGTGTATATATATATATATATACACACACACACACACAATAGGGTGTGTGATCAAATATCCTGTGAACAGATCCACAAATCCAAACTAATTTCACCAATTGTAAAATTGACTGAATTTTCATTCAGGTATGTAAGATAGTTTCCAGGATCACTGCATTTTTTCGACCACTCCCTGTTTGTCCAATTTAGATGGCTTAACAATTTTCAGGCTATGATGCCTCAAACTTGTGCAGAGAAACTCAACTCAACAAAATGTGATGAGACCAGGATCTCCAGCTACGGCCAAGACATTTCCAATGTTTCCCAGCTGAAGAATATTCAAAGCCAGTCAAATAAAGAGCGAGATAGGGAGCATGATTTGCTCTTTTTTTTTTCTTTTCGAACAGAACTGCTCTTTCCTGCTAGCTCAGAGTGCACTGAAAACACAGGTTTTGCCACAGAAACAAAGTCTGGATCCTTTCCCAGATTTGCCTTGTGCAACTTAGTCCACATCTCAAAAATTTAAATCAAGTTGAAAAGTCATGTTTTGACATGCTGGAAGTGATTTAGTGTCCATTGCAGAGGCTCAACTGCTGCAGAAAATAATGGGACTTACAGCCATGCTGAAAATGGTGCAGACGCGCACCAGAAATATATTCCCAAATCTGTGATTTACCAAATTAAAATAAGATAAGGCTTTTCTTTTTCTTTTTTTTTTTTGTAGTAAATATACTTAGGTGCATAAAATTTTGATAATAGATTAAACTTCAAGTAAATAATGTCAACCCTATGTTTTAAAATGTTATCACTGAAAATGGGAAATACTTAAAAATGTGCCCAGTTAAATTAACTTTGTATTTTGAATTTCACCTTGATTTTGCAGTAACTTTTTTTTTCTATTTTTACTGGAATCTATACTTAATAAAGGCAGTGTTGAAAAACAGAAAAGGCGCATGGTGAGCAGGCTGAAGGACAAGGACCCTCTCTTCTATTAAAGTGGGCTTTTGCAGTTATTATAATAAGCAAGCAGGCTGAAAAAAATGCCTAAAATCAATACATAAATCAGCACATTCACTGCTTGTCAGTTTGTCAGTATCTTTTCAGAATGCTTTTCAAATTGTGCAGACAAAATTCAAATGAAACTGGAAGTGCATTTATTGTCCATTTGGTTCTCTGCTGTATGCACCTGTAAATGACTGAGATCTGAAATAATGTATGCAGATGTGTTAGGAATCTATATCTGCACGCAGTTTAAGTGTTGTCATATATCACAAATTAGGCAGACTTATGAGCAGATTCTTCTTCTTCTTTTGTAGTTTTTTTTTTTTTTAACAAAGTAATAATACAGTGTAGTTAATAATTAATTATTCAAGCGCTTAAATGTAGGGATTATTTACAATAATACT